CGCCTCTCTCTCTCCTTCTGAAGCTTTGTTTTGGTGGAAAGCGGTTCACAAAGACCTTTACACAAACTCACCCAATGACAACTGCTTTACTACGTAAAATGATTCACTGGTGTTTAAAAATCCCACAAACAGGAGCCCTCACTGACTTTATGACCGACTTCCCACGAAGGCACTGAGGCCAGCAATGGCTAATGCTCCATCTGGCATCGACTCCCTGTGAATATCTCTCAGCAATAACAACTGATAGCAGAGCTCGGAGCCTACACATCATCCTCCTGTTTGTACATAAATTCCCTTTAAAAGGATTTCAGCATCCTCACACTGCTTCTTCCCAAGCGTTCAGGCTCTTAAAGCCAAGTCAGCCAGACAGAATGGTGCCACGCAACTACAAACAACGCAGGACAATTTTTTATTACAATACACGGCAAGATTCTTTCTAAAAGCACTGCCAGTAATATGCAGTGTGTAAAAATACACATTCATCATAAAGAGGTTAGATACTAATTCCTGCAGCTTAATTTCTTCTTGAGGGCACCAGCCCATTTTTCAATTAAGCCAGGATAATATTATTAATCATAAAAAATTGCTGATGTGTAAAATTGTTTCCTTTCTGGCTAGCAGTGGCTGAGAGGCATTGGACATGCTGCCTCTGAATTAGTCTAACTTTGTGGCAGCGTGGAAGCTGGATCATCCTTTTTGGAGAGGATTCACACTGCTCCCAGCCTCAGCCATGGGGAAAGGCTGTCCCTTGGGGAACGTGCAGACCCACATCTGCACTGCATCAGGTGCAGGCTGGTAGCAAGGAGCCTGTGGATATAGATTCTCATGGAAGAGACACCACTGTCAACTGTGAGGCACAACAGCTGGCATCAACAGGCAGTTCCATGCCAAGAGGGTGCTTCAATGGTCTCTTTTGCCTGACCATTTCCAGGGCACAGTGTTTCAATACTTCCTGAAGAGAAAGAGGTTTCTGCCCATTCCCTCAATTTTCTGTACTGAATTTGGTATTATGGGATTCTCTGGTGAAGTCATCAGTACTTTCTGTTTAGTTTTTTCTCCTCCCCTCTGCTGCTGAATGGGTTTGCCTAATTCTGACCAAAATAACTGCACACATTGCCTTCAGATAGGGCCACCAAAAGTAGAATGGAGGGAAAAGAATTAAGAGAATTAAGAAACAATCCAAATTTTATAAAATAGTAACCTATGAATAACAAAACCTCTCCTTGCCATGTAGTCAGCAAAGAAGACTGCTGGACTGTGACTTGGCAGGATCCAAGAAGATGCTGCAGAGGTGTGGGCATGCCAGCATGCTGCAGAAGGATGGCAGCTCCCTGCCAAGGCACACCCCAGTACCTGGGCCCTCACCCTGCCAAACTGGGGGCCTCTCAGATCAGCCCCGCTGTGACTGCTCCACTCCACCAAGGCCAGATTATTTCAGGTGGACAGGAGGGGACGGGCACATGCCGTGGTCTTGCTCCTGCAGCAGCAGCATGACCTCTAGGAGCCCTCCACGGGACACAGAAGCACCCAGGTGAGGAGCAGGGCTGTGCCAGGCCCCTCTGTGCTGGGGCCAGCAAATGAACCTCCAGCAGGTTTGCTCAGGATGATGGAGCTGGAAGCAGAGAGCCTGGTTCCTGGCTCCTGGCTCCATGAGTGCTTACCGTGTACTTCGGTGGCACAGCTCCAGACAAAATGCCTTCTTTCCAATCATGTGTCCAACCCTTTTTCCATCTATGGGCAGTTTCCCTTCCACACATCACAAAGTCATCTATCCCCTGACTTCTGTTGAGACTTTGCATCCCCCTGCTCACAGGACCTCCCAGGAGCAGCTCATGGCCATTATCTCCGTGGCAGCTCAACCCTTTGCCCATTGCCTGGAGAGCTTTTGGCAACACTCCCAACTTGTGTGCCCCTGCCATTTATCTCTTACGTCCCCATCTTGCTTCTCCCTGTTCCAGAAGCTGCAGCCTCTGTATTTTTTTCTCTATAGTGACCAATCTTCTCCCAGCAGCAGAATTCCCCTCCTGTTTTCCCACACACGATCAACTCCATAATACTATGCCAGTTATCTGCAGCCTTGAGTCTTTAGTTTTCTGACATCACCAAATAGTTTCTTATCTGCCTCTGGTATTATTTATACAGACATATATATAAAAGGCCATCTTCCACCATCTTATTGACTGCTGACTGAGAATAAATCATGCAAGGAGAACAGGCCAGACTTCGGGACCACCTTGGGGAATACCCCACCCCACAGTTGTTGCCTCTTGGCAAACACAAGCAAGAAGCGCACATCCACTCTGAAGTCTGAGGAGGCAAATCACATATACAGAAATGGTGAGTTTCAGCCAAAAAATTTCCTTTCTGACAAGAGTCACTGCTATTCATGCGACTAGGCTCATTAAGAGTGAGAGCTGGAAAAAACTGCAGGATGGAGTCTGCGTGTGCCTCCTGGCTGAGATGTTCAGCTGCATTTTTCCTTGTGAAAGGCAAACTATCCCTGCACCATGACAGCAATAAACACAGTGGGATTACTGGTCAGCAACTCAATGGATACTACTTCCAACAGCCCTACAGTTATTACTGTACTCAGATACAGTAATTGTTACAAATAACCAAACCACCAGAGAAAGACTTCCATGTTATCTCTACCCATACATACGTAAAATACCAGTTTGTACAAATCCAAAGTATGTGAGGTTAAAGCTAATGGGCAAGCTTTGTTGAGCATCTCAAAAATCAAATTAACTGCAATCAAATTCATGGCACAACTCAGGGTTCATTTCATTACTATCAGAAAATTCAATCTCTGAAATCTTACAATATTAAGCTAAAGCAATGATCTTTCTGTTAAAGTTCTCTCTTTTTTCATTTCAAGGTGAAAAAAAAGCTGGCATGCCTGGGGAAGGTGAGGGTGATGATTCCCAGTAGATACTAGTGAAAGCTTGGCAAACATTTAATCAATTACTGTTATATAAAGAAAAGGAGAAAAACCCCAAACATCCTTTCAAATACACACTCAAAGACATGTTGCATTACAAATTCTACCTCTTGCATCTATTTCTACATCATGCCTTTTCCTGCACAAATGCATATATAAGCATAAACACACATGCATAGTAGGCATATACATATTTAAATTCAAAATATAAATCCATGAGGGAGCTAGTTAAATCTGCTCATTGCTGCAATAACTAATCATATCTCTGTGCTGTACTGCAGGTGGGAAAAGTCAGAAGTTCATTACATTAAATTCAGGCATTTCCCTTTTTTAATGAAGCTGCATTTTTGGTTTATTTCACAATATGCACTCTTTAACCTTTCTGCAAGACCTAGCTGTAGAATACTCACTGCAGTTTCAGACTCCTTTTTTATCCCTCCTCTTCAAGGTTTCCAACTAGGTTTCTCTGCGTGAGTCAAGTGCAGTTTTAATAAGGCAGATGAGGCAGGGCTTCTCAACTGCTTTTGATAGAGGTGAGGTGGTCAGCTCTTTATTGACTTTCTGCAGTACTGCAGCTACAGACCGTACAGACAATCTTGCTTTATGAGCATGCACCAGGCAGGAGGAAATTGGCCTGGAAATTTCCAGCCAGCAGTGTTTGATGCACTGCTTGAAAAGCTGCACAATGTGCATATAAAGGAAACTAGGGACAGCCTTTTTCCTTGTTGTCGTTGTTGCTAAACCGGGCTGCAGTTGCTGCATGTACCTAGGAAAGCCTGCTCAGGAGCCATTTTAAGAATTAATATGTCTCAGGAAAAGGAAAGAAAACAACGCTGGTTATTTTGTGCACATTAGAGAGTGCTGCATATCAAAGATCCTTTTATAAACACTTCGAAAAATCACACGGGAGGTAATAAGCCACTGAATTATTTTACTGTCCTTTGCTTGTGCAGGCAGCCACAGCACATCCACGCTGTATGCAGTGCACAGCTGCACTGATACACACACATCCTCACAAGGGGATGTGGAAAAAAGGAAGCAATCATGGACTGGTATCATGTACTATTAAGGTTTTATTGGTACCAGCATGGAGCAACTGCATCACTAATTAATGGATGCACACAGGCTACACACATCCTTCCAATCAAGTAGCAATAAACCCAGGTAGCCTTCTTCACCCTCATACATACATTACTTGAGCTATTTACCTCACCCCTTGTTTTTCTGGACTGCACATTCCCCTTTTCTCTCACTATCCCACATCTACACTGGCAAGGCACATCCTTGAATTCTGCTCTTACAGGGGAGATGAACATCCATGGCCCCACTCATTAGCTTCCCACATGGTGCCACCGGACCAAGTTTGTAACAGCAGACAGGGCTCAAACTATGCAGACAGGAGCTTTGGAACCCTCCCCCAGAGATGTGTTCACATATGCTGACACAAAAATAACCATTAAAATCAGGTTTGACATCTCTCTGTGCCTCTTCTACTCCCAGCCCAAGGGGGACAACATCCTCCTGCCCCAGGGGGGCACAGCAATGGTGAAAGGACCAAAGCAAGAAGGTTCGGAGACTTTGGGGATGGCAGCCCTACAAAATCCAGAACAGACTTCAGTCTCTACAAAAATGAACCCACATAGGGCTGCACACCGCAGCTCGCACCCAGCTGCCAAGGACTGAGGGAGCCAGGTCCCACCCCCTGCTGAAGCACCCCAGCTTGCACCCAGCTGCAGCAGCAGCAGCTGCAGCAGTGCTCTGCCAAGGACTGAGGGAGCCAGGTCCCACCCCCTGCTGAAGCACCACACCTGAGCAGCCAGCACTGCTGCAAGGTACGCAGCACAGTTTCACTTCTTTCAGCTAATTGCAAAGCTCATGGGGATTCTGAAAATAAAGCTATACACACACAGGTTGAAACACCTTACAGCTACTGTGCTCCTATCAGAGGATATACCCTTACTGCAAGTAAGACTTAACTATGTGCTTAAATTCTACTGACTTCAGGGGACATAAGGATTTGCTTAACTTTCATTATACCAGCCATTTGTTTTACAGTTACCTGGATAATGTCTTGCCTTTTCATGTACAGCACTGAGCTTCTTCCACAGTAGGGTATTACTTCTTACACATAAATGGAATACCAGGTAGAAATTGAGGCACTGTTAGCTAGCTACCTGAAAAACATGGACAATGACAGGCAGATGATTTTGCTGCACACTGCAGTGCTGAGTGCTCCTGAATTTTCACCTGTGAGATAAGCATCAGTGAACAGCTACAACACAGTCCTTAAAGAAGGATAACAAAAGGACAGTAACCCATAGCAAAGAACATTTCCATACTGTGTCCTGCATTTTATTTTTAAAGATGCAGCTACAGGGAACAGACATCCTGTGAAATAACAGATGTTGGAATCTCACCGCTATAATTCAGATGACCTTGCTGAATTAGAAAGCAAAGCACTGCTTTTCTTGAGCAGGGAAAGGTTGTGCTGGTGTTCAGTTATCTGTTTCATCCCAGTTCCCCATCTGCAGGTCCCCAAAGTGTGTTCTTACAGCACTTCAGCTAGCTTTTTCAAATCAGATGCTGCTGACATCATGAACCTTATGAATTTTCTTTGCTGACAGGGATTAGATACTGCTTCACTTTAACCCCCCAAACGGGCAGAAGCTGGAACCTGGCCTGGACCTGCTGCCAGTTTGTGCTCGGGCTCTACTCCCAGTAGGCAAGAGATGCTCAGGGCTTCTGGACAGTCATATGCAATACATTGATTTAATCAAAATTACATGCCAGTCTCACTCTTTAAAGCAAAACGCAAACAGCAAACAATTAATTATTGCTTTAATTCTTAAGATCTTTTCTTTAATTCTTAAGATCTTGAGATCTGCATGTGTTCAAAATACTCTAAGAGAAGAAACAGACTGGCATTGTCTTTCGGTCTTTTGCTGGTGGCAAAGCAGATTATTCCTATCATGTTCTGCAGGGGTGCTGTCAAATGCTGTTTCAGGCTATGGGCCAAAACCTACCCCCAGCCCATGTGCTCAGTTCCCACTGGCATCAATGATATCTCCACCATGAACTGACAGTAGTAAATGGGCAGAGATGTGCTGGCTGCTCAAATAGCACGATCTATGTGCTGAATAATTCATTTTAAACTGTTGCACAGATGTCAAAATGTTATTGCTGATTTCTAGCCAGCAGAATGGGCGTTTCTTCTCCTGATATGAGTGTGTCTCTGCCTGTAATGCCACGGAAGACTTGGGGGATGTCTCAGCCAAACAGCAAAGCCCATACATGGCATGCCTGTGAACATACAATTAAAATGATCACTTAAGGTCACCTTTCACTCTCCTTATTAGGATTCTCCTGCAGATACACCCACCCATTGCCTTCAAGAAGTTTCAAAAAAGCAGCTCAAAACATGGCATGGTCACATATGTTTGAGGGTACTCTCCAACAATCACTTCAGCCCTTTGGATTTTTGCTGAAGTCCCATGGAAAAACTCTAAGTACAAACAACTCAAGAGTCGCAGATGAGTCTGGATAACAAAATTAATCCAGACAAAAAATTAATCCAGACAAAAAATTAATTCAAACAAAAAACAAACTCCTGCCTCTGTAAAGGGAAACAAATAAATGTATCCTACAGAGTTTGCCAGCCTAGCCATGGAGAGAACTCTATGGTACAAATCAAAGATCCTCTTCCTCTCCAAAATCAAGGAAGAAAAAAGGAGTTTTTCCTTTCACTGCTTCTCCTTTCACTAAACCTAGAGCAGCCGATGTGGTGCACTCTGACATTTTCTGGGCACTGGCTTCCCCAGCCAGGTGGGCTCAGCTGCTGATGGCCAGCAGCCCCTCCAGAGTGAGGTGGGAGTCCTGTGTGCAGGTGGGCTGGGGTGGCTGGGGGCTATGGGAGAAGTGGAAGGGAAATGGGAGAGATCCAAGAGAGTCACGGGTTTTGAACTGAGGTCAGAGACCAGGGATCTCTGACACAAATCAAACAAGCTGTCCCCAGGACAGCCTAGTAGCATTGCTACTAGGGATGTGTCAGCTAAAAAGTGGAATTTTTCACGCTCCTAGATGGGCTTCTTCACGTCTGCTGGTCTGTGTGGAAACAGACCTAGGCTTAATGAGGTCTAATTTGTTTCAAATCCATAGGTTTCTTTTTAATAATTAACAATCCCCATCACTCAGCAAAGTCATTCCTTACCCCTGACTACTTGCTATTAGGAATGAAATTTACTGTGAAATACTGTTAAAAGGTGGAAAGCAAGTGACATAATTCACATTTTAATTAAAAAAAATATATATCACACAAAGCCGGAGCCATAGAAGGAATAATAACTGAACAAGCCTAAAAAACCCCCACTCCAACCCAACACCTACTCTTCCCTATTACCCACTTTATTCTTGTCATGCTATTTGAGTTCCTCTAATTGACTTCTCTTACTGGATGCTCTATGCCCAAACCATATTTCAGTTTTTCGCTCTGCGATTCCAGGAACTAGAGAACGTGTCGGCATCATTACCATGAGCATTACACACCCTCACACACAAGGGTCCAGGAACTACAATTAACACATTAAGAAATAATAACTGCCAAGGGAGCAACAGAAGATAAACAGCATGGAGCTGATGTAGCAAGAATTCTGCTTGGGAAAGGGCTGTCTCTTGGGTAACGGGCAAGGGAGAGGAATTGAAGCGCTGTGCAGCACTGCCCATTTACCAGAGAAAACCCCAAAAACAGTTCACACATTAATTTCTTGAAATTTAATTTTACTAAAAGTATTGCTGGCTTTAAACTAGATTTCGAAGAAATCTGAAGGCTCAAAGAAATAATAATCATGTCCTGTTCCAAAGTTTAAAATTGGTATATGTTTTCTGGTATTTGAAAACCTGCCCTGAAGTGCTGTGTGTTTGTCATTTTCTTGTTCTTTTACAGCAGAAGTGAGAAATACTTATTTCTTTTACCTATACATTAAGATATATTTATAAAAAAATAACAAAAATACCTTTTCCCTGCTTGTCAATATCTATTTTTATGATTGCCTGGGATTCTTTTTTGTTTGGCTAGCTTTTCTTGGGGTTTTTTAAAATAAATTTTAATAATTGAGCCATTTTCCCAATTTTCCCAAGGGTTTTTAATTTAAAAAAAAAAAAATAGATTCCAGAGTCTTTTATTTAAAGCTTCCACTCTGAGAATGTTTTATATGAGTAGTCCTGCAGAAGCTGCACAACAAAAGCCTGCAAGAGCATGCCAACCATTTGGATACCTATCTGCCTTCACCACTGCAACCAACAGAAATCATGGAGCATGCTGCAGCCTTTGGGCATCAGCCTTGGCTTCAGCTGCTGCTTTCAGCTGGACCAGCCAAAGGCCTTAATACTTTCCAGTGAGATTAGGAGCCGAAGGAACACGATGGCACAGGCGAGGTTTATGAAATGCTTTGTCTCGCCTCTCTCCCACCTTGGGGCTGCACAGTCACAGAAAACCCAACAAAAATAACAGCCTTTCCCACATTCCCCCAAATCCCTGTGCAGGAAAAGGGAGGCAGAAGAGGCACAGACACGCAGGGCAGGATTAGCTGCTCTGCTCAAGCCGCCCTTTGGGAGAGAAGGGCGCTGCCTGTGACCCATGTGGGGCGCGGGGTTTCTGTGGCAGGCGCGATCCCCCGCTGCCCCCACGCACGGCTCATCAGTCAGCTCAGACATTTCAGCAAATCACATGGCACTTTGTAAAAACATAATTGTTTTTATTTTCCAATTTTCCCTGTTTTGTGTAGAGTGCTGCTGTGTTCAAGCGAAGTGAATAAAAGCATAAACAGCAAGCACCATCTGGAGAACATTCTTCCAGCACGCTGAGAAATAGCAGCCGCCTGTGCACTACCTGCTATAAATAAATGCCATTAAAAAATGTCCAAAAAATTGTTTGTTCCTATCTGACAGAACTGTAGTCAGATAAAATCTTCCTTAACCCTGTCTTCAGGTACCCAACACCTTCACAGAAAAAATCTCCAAACAGACATAGATATTTGTCTCTCTTTATGTTAATATGAGAATTACTAACAGAATAGCAACCCTACACGTTGTTCTAGTAACACAACAGAGGTTGCAACTTAAGTGTAACACGTGAACAAAGCATTGAAAATTCAAATGCCTTTTAAACTGTACCAGGTTCACAATAGGGAGATATCTCTCAGCCCACCAGCAAGAGAACAGGCAAAATTATTCATTCTCCAAACTGATAGTGTATCAGTTTGGAGGGAAAAAAAAATACCAGAAAGTCCATAATTTATTTTCAGTCTACACAAAGCCACATCTCCCTCTCTGCTGACAAAATACAGACCAAGCTGGCTGTGGGGCTGTGATGAGGCTCTGCAAAGGGTCGGAGTTTGCTGCGTTTGTTTAATCACTGCAATTAGAGCTATGCAAATAATGGAATTGTTTGCTGTAGTGGCAAGGCTGGGGTGAAAAATTAAAAAGAAATATTTGGGTTGAGTGATTTAAAAACAATTTTGGCAAAATGGTAAAATGAAAAAATGAAACTGTCTAGTCTGTTCTACTCAGATTCAACTCAGAATCCATTTAGTTTGAAATGAAAAATACATTTTCACACTGGAACAAAGCATATGAGCAATTGTCATTTTTCCTTTTTTTTTTTTTTTTTTTTTTTTGCCAGACTAACATCTTCAGCGCCCAGGAAGGGATGCTTAGGAGAGCTTGCTGCTTCCTGGGGAGGGAGGAGATTTGCCTATCCCTTATCCCAGCCTTGGACACACCTCATGCTGTTGTGCAGGGGCAGGGCTGAGCGCTGCATCTTCCTCCCTTGCCAGCCCTCCTCTTCCCCATGCTCTGCTCTGGGCAGCTGCCCTGCCCAGGGAGCCCAAGGGAGGCAGGTAGAGGTGGGCAGGGAACAGCAGCACTGCCTTTTCTTGGTTCCAAAGGCTCAGGCACAGCTGGCACTGGGTGGGTGACTCTTCCCAGAGTGACACAGCCCTCGTGGCCCACACGAGGCTGGGGTGTGCTCTGGGATACCGCATGGGGCTGAGTGTCTGGAGGCTGACACAGGACACAGTCTGAAGCCTCCCTGATGAGACACTAGCCACCAGTAGGAAGAAGGATTTGGAGAAATTTTAGTGGTTTTCTCCCTTGTTTTAAACCCTCCTTATATTGGCAG